GATGCGCCAATCCGAAGCCAGGAGCCAGGAGCTTCTTCTAGGTCTCCCACATGGATGAGGGGCCCAAGGGCTTGGACCATTTTCTACTGCTTTCCCAGGCTATAGCAGAGAGTTGGATCAGAAGCGGAGCAGCTGGGACTAGAACCGGTGCTGATGGGAGGCAGGCGCCGCAGGTGGAGGATTAACCTACTGCACCGCAGCGCCAGCCCCACGGCCCAGTAATCTGTGTGCCCCTGCTTTCCCCTCTGGGGACGACGTTTCTGAAGTCTCTCAGTAATTATGACAGTTGAGATAGTTTTTATTGTAATTAGTGCATTATGCCACAAGATGTCGCTCTTTAGCTGAAAAGCTATTTCAGTTCTCTTAGGAACTCCAGAGCAACAGGCAAAAAGCCTGTCAACCACTCATTATTTAGCCATAAAAACATAGTTTTCTGGGCAAGAGTATTTCCATCTGTGCAATCTATTAATTAGCTACTCTTAATTTTTTAAAACTATGCTATTATTTCTTAATTTCCTAAGTGTAGATTAATTTTCATTATAAATGGAATCAAAATAATTAAGACAGAACTAACTTTGGAAGTATGTAGTGATAGTAAAATATGAAGCAAAGTGTAAAGGTCACCCACTGATCATTGAAAGCTAAATGGGTGATGGCATTGTGGCACAGTAGGTCAAGCCACTGCTTGGGACAACCATGACCCTTATCAGAGTGCTTGGTTCTAGCCCCGGCTTCTCTGCTTGCTTCCCATCCCATTTCCTTCTGATCCCTCTGGAGGCAGTGCACAGTGGCTCAAGTGCTTGAGTTTCAGCCATTCACATGCAGGACCACAGTGGAGTTTGGGCCTCCTGGCTTTGGCTGGGCCCAGGTTGCTGGAGAGTGAATCAGCAGATGGAAGTTCTCCCCCCACACCCTCTTTCTCTCTGTTGCTCTGCCTTTCAAATAAATTTAAGTGGATGACACTGAGGCATAGCAGGTAAAGCTGGTTCTGTGACGTAGTGGATAAACCTGATGCCTGCAGTGCCAGCATCCCATATGGGCACCAGTTCGAGTCCTGGCTGCTCCACTTCCCATCCAGCTCTCTTCTATGGCCTGGGAAAGCAGCAGAAGATGTCCCAAGTCCTTGGGCTCCTGCATGCACATGGGAGACCCAGAGGAAGCTCCTGGCTCTTGGCTTCAGATCAGCACAGCTCCAGCCGTTGAGGCCATCTGGGGGAGTGAACCAGCAGTAGGAAGACCTCTCTCTGTCTGTCTCTCTCTCTCTCTGCCTCTGCCTCTCTGTAACTCTGCCTTTCAAATAAATAAATACATCTTTAAAATTAAATAAATAAATTTGAAACACAAATAAACATTAAATAAATTCAGTCAGATGGTGTTTGTGACTTTGCTATTAAATGCTGTGTAACCTTGCAAACGTCATTTACTTTCTGCAATTTTATCAGTTCAACAGAGTACTAGGGGCTGAGTGTGTACAGCTGGTTAAGCCACTGCCTGCAACGCTGACACCCCAGAAGAGCTCTAATTCAATACCTGGCTGCTCTACTTTGAATCCAGCTCCCTGCTAATGTGGCTGGAAAAACAGAGAAGGTGACCCAAGTACTTGGGCCCATTCATGGGAGACTTGGATGGAGTTCCGGGCTCCTGGCTCCAGCCTGACCCAGCCCCAACAACTGCAGCTATCTGGGGAGTGAACTAGCAGATGGAAAAACTCTTTCTTTTTCTCTCTCTCCCTCTATAACTCTCTGCCATTCAAACAATAAATAAATCTTAAAAAAAAAGTAGTAAAAATTTCCTTTCTTAGGTCATTATACATTACTATACATATATATATATTTTTGACAGGCAGAGTGGACAGTGAGAGAGAGAGAGACACAGAGAGAAAGGTCTTCCTTTGCCGTTGGTTCACCCTCCAATGGCTGCCGCGGCCGGCGCGCTGCAGCTGGCGCATCGCGCTGATCCGAAGCCAGGAGCCAGGTGCTTTTCCTGGTCTCCCATGGGGTGCAGGGCCCAAGGACTTGGGCCATCCTCCACTACACTCCCGGGCCATAGCAGAGAGCTGGCGTGGAAGAGGGGCAACCGGGACAGAATCCGGCGCCCCGACCGGGACTAGAACCCCGAGTGCCAGCGCCGCAAGGCGGAGGATTAGCCTATTGAGCCACGGCGCTGGCCTATACATAGTTTTTAATATATGCTACTACATATGTAAATACATTCCTCTAATTCTAAAGTATTTTCATATTTACAGTAATAATTTATAAGTGTTCAAATATAGTACCAGTGGAATTCAGTAATAGACAACTATCTGAAAGAAGACATTAGGAATTGTGATATTCCTTGACTTCTCAAAGTAAGTATTTTAGGAAAATAAGTAAAATAATTATAGTCAGAGTATAAACTTTTTTAAGATTTATTTATTTATTATTTGAAAGGCAGAGTTACAGAAAGGCAGAGGCAGAGAGAAGAGAGAGAGAGAGGTCTCCCATCTGCTGGTTCACTCCCTAGATGGCCGCAACAGCCAGAGCTAGGCCTATTTGAAGCCAGGAACCAGAGCTTTCTCCGGGTCTCCTATGTGGGTACAGGGGCCCAAGGACTTAGGCCATCCTCTACTGCTTTCCCTGGCCACAGCAGAGAGCTGGATTGGAAGTGGACAGTCGGGTCTCAAACCAGCATTCATATGGGATGCCAGCACTGCAGACAGTGGCTTTACCCACTACAACACAGTGCCAGTCCCAGAAGTATAAACTCTTGAAGTATAATATTTCCACATTTATTACTAAAAGTGTTTTCAATAAGATGATAAGAGGCAGTATTGCGGCATAGTAGGTTAAGCTGCCACCTATGATGCCGGCATCACATATGGGTGCTGAGTCCCATCCAGCTCCCTGCTAATCCTCCTGGGAAGGCAGCAGCAGATGACTCAAGTCCTTGGGCCCCTGCCATCCACCTGGGAGACCTGGAAGAAGCTCCTGGCTCCTGGCTTCAGCTAGGCCCAGCTCTGGCTGTTGCAGCCACTTAGGCATGAATCAGTGAGTGGAAGATCGCTCTCTCTGTCTCTCCCTCTCTTTCTCTGTAACCGTGCCTTTCAAATAAACAAATTTTTGTTTAAAAAGGGGAGGGGGGCGGCACCGTGGCTCACTTGGTTAATCCTCCACTTGTGGCACCAGCATCCCATATGGGCGCCGGGTTCTAGTCCCGGTTGCTCCTTTTCCAGTCCAGCTCTCTGCTGTGGCCTGGGAAGGCAGTGGAGGATGGCCCAAGTGCTTGGGCCCTGCACCCGCATGGGAGACCAGGAAGAAGCACCTGGCTCCTGGCTTCAGATCGGTGCTGTGCCGGCCGTAGCGGCCGTTTGGGGAGTGAACCAATAGAAGGAATACCTTTCTCTCTGTCTCTCTCACTGTCTATAGCTCTGTCAAAAAAAAAAAAAAAATCCTGAAGTTTAAAAATAAGCGTTACTTAAATGTAAAATTTTTGATTCAAGAGCACATTAATTTTTAAATGTTATACTATCCAAGGCTGGCACTGTGCCTCACTTGGTTATTCCTCCGCCTGTGGTGCCGGCATCCCACATGGGCACCAGGTTCTAGTCCCGGTTGCTCCTCTTCCAGTCCAGCTCTCTGCTGTGGCCCTGGAGGGCAGTGGAGGATGGCCCAAATGCTTGGGCCCCTGCACCCGCATTGGGAGACCAGGAGGAAGCACCTGGCTCCTGGCTTCGGATTGGCACAATGCCGGCCTTGGCGGCCATTTAGGGGGTGAACCAACGGAAGACCTTTCTCTCTCTCTTTCTCACTGTCTATAACTCTACCTGTCAAATAAAAAAAGGTTATACTATTCCAATTGATATTATTTTTCAGCTATTTTGCAAAAAATTTCAAAAATTTCTAACTTTGAAAGACATTTGTAATTGATGCAATACTTGTAAATAATCAAAAGCCCAGTGTACACCCTAGGTGAACAGCTGGACACTACAGAATATTTAAAATAGGGACTGGAGTGGGCCGGCCGGTTGGTGTAGCAGATAAAGCTGCTGCCTCCAGTGCTGGCATCCCATATGGGCACCAGTTCTAGTCCCGGCTGCTCCACTTCTTATCCAGCTCTCTGCTATGGCCTGGGAAAGCAGTAGAAAATGGCCCAAGTCCTTGGGCCCCTGCACCCACGTGGGAGACCTGGAAGAAGCTCAAGGCTCCTGGCTTTGGATCAGCACAGCCCCAGCCCTTGTGGCCAATTGGGGAGTGAACCAGCGGATGGAAGATTTCTCTCTCTCTCCTTCTCTCTGTGTGTAACTCTTTCAAATAAATCAATAAATAAATCTTAAAAAAAAAATAGGGGCTGGAGCTGTGGTATAGGGGTAAAGCCACCACCTGCAGTTCAGGTATCCCATATGGGCGTCAGTTCCAGTCCCAGCTCTCCATTTCCAAGTCAGCTCCCTGCTAATGTACCTGGGAAAGCAGGAGATGATGGCCCAAGTGCTTGGGCCCCTGCACTCACCTGGGACACCAGGAAGAAGTTCCTGGCTCCTGGTTTTGGATGGGTCCAGCTCCAGCTGTTGCCTGGGGAGTGAACCAGCAAATGGGAGTGTTATCTCTCTCTCTCTCCCCTCCCACCCCTACTAACTCTGCCTTTCAAATAAGTAAGTAAATCTTGAAAAGATAAACTAGGACTCTTTATTTTTATTAGTAATAAATTATTAGGATTAAGATTAAGTTGTTAGGATAGGCGAGACCACCAAAAATGACAGGAATATTCAGGGCTCAGAGTAACATAAAAAATGTAAAACTGTAAATAATGTAATTGTGCAAATAGTGCCTGCTTTGGAATGTTTTACCTAACTTGAAGTTTATATCTTTCTGTTTTAACTTATTTTCGATGATTGAATACATAGAAGGAAAAGCAGGCACGGTTTGTGTAATTCTCCATGATTACTTTAAACATTAACAGAAACACAAGCTTTCTACCTCACGCTCCAGAGTCGCTTCCGTCCGTCGGCTTCGCCGCGCGGGGCGGGTGTCCAGGCGGTGCGACTGCTCCAGGGCGAGAGAAGTCTGGGCGGGGCGTCGGGGGCGGCCCCTTCTGCCCACCGATAACAAGCTCATTCCCAGGGAGCCGGCCCGACCAGACTGCCCCCTCCGCCTCGCCGCCCCAATAAGGCTCCGTCACCTCTCCGAGAGCTCGGTAAGTTCCGAGTAATCCAAGGGCACGCTGCCGAGCCATCATCGGAAATGATTTTGAGACAGTTTATTGGAGAGTGGGGAAGGGGAAAGGGGAGGCAGAGCTGGAGGGGGAAATAATCAGGTATTAAATTTGCACATGGTGCAATGCACAAATGGTTGCAAAGTGATTATATTTGACTGCTAACTGGTTTCCCCAGGAAAGGTCTTCAGAGGGGTCGTCGCTAGCTGCTTCCCACCGGCTTCCGAAAGTCTGGGCAGGGGCAGCTGGCAGGTGCATGTGCCTGGACGAAGGGCTGCGCCTGGCTCAGTCACTAGCGGTCTCTGCCTCGGTCCGCAGATCCGGGGGATGCTTCTCGCCTGGCCCTGCCTCCACGAAAGAAGCGCCCAGGGGTCCTAGGAGAGCGGAACGCCGACACCAGCGCGGACACCGCGGGCCATGAGTCCTCCGGGATTACGAGCGTCGCTCTCGCTGCTCCTGCTGCTGCTGCTGCTGTTGGCCGGCTGCCTCCTCGTGGCCGCCCACAGGGACAAGGGGGCGGCGGGCGGCCCGGCGCTGGGCTCCTCGGGTCGCTTCGTCAGCCCCGAGCAGCACGCGTGCAGCTGGCAGCTCCAGCAACCGGCCTCGGGGGCCGCGGCGGGCAGCGAGCTGGCGCTGCGCTGCCGGAGCCCGGACGGGGCGTTCCAGCAGTGCGCCTACCGCGGCGAGCCAGAGCGCTGCGCTGCCTACGCCGCCCGCCGCGCGCACTATTGGAAGCAGGTGCTGGGCGCGCTGCGCAAGAAGCCGCGGCCCTGCCAGGACGCCGCGCCGCTGCGCGCCCGCCTGTGCGCCGGCAAAAAGGGCCACGGCGCCGAGCTGCGCCTCGTAGCCGGCGTGTCTGCGCCCGCCGGGCCCACTGTCGCGGGCAGCGCTGGGGAGCCCAGACCGCGGGCCAGGAGCCGGGGGCGGCCCCGGGATCCAGCGCGCGGCCCGGCCGCGGGGGTCCCACCTTCCCCGAGTGCGCCCTCCAAAGAAAAGCCCCCCGAGAAGAAGAGCAAAGCGGGCAAGAAGAAGGTGGTCTCGGTCCCCCGTGACGAGCGCCCCACGGGGACCGGCCCCGACTCCGACGGGCTGAGCGAGAACGCGGAGCTCACGGAGACCTACTGCGCGGAGAAGTGGCACTCGCTCTGTAACTTCTTTGTCAATTTCTGGAACGGCTGAGGCTGCGGGCCTGGGGAGAGGTGCGGGGGTCGGGTGGGGGGAGGTCAAGTGCAGGAGCAGGGGCGGGGTAGCCAGGGCCGTCGTAGACCGAGGGATCTCGAGTTAGAGGGGAGGAAGCCGGGTTCTGGAACGGGGCGGGGGTGCCTCTCCGGGCCAGCAGAGAAATTGAAGTTTCTGAAGTCTCGGACCTGATTAAGGACAGAAAAAACAGTGGGCACAGAAACAGTACCTTAAGGATGCAAAAACTGTAGGCTAGGGAGAGAGGTAGGTACCGAGAGAGGCGAAAAATAAGGTTGGGGGTGTGTGGGAAATAGTCATTAAAGTGGTGGGAAGCTTGCGCCCGAAGCAGGATGGAATGTATTTTGTTGAACACGTTTATATGAGGTTGTAACAGGAGCAGGTGACAACCTTCTCACTCCATCGGTTGACAAGATTACCGACTTTTGCCTTTCTGAATTGGTACGAACTTGGGTGATGCCTGGTGTCAGAGATGATCTCTCTATGAGAAGCCTCATGGGGAAAAACTGGCTCCAAGGGTTTTCATAGGGCTGTCTCTCTGTTCTTTGAAAAAATGTTACTTTTTAACCCAATGATGCTTAATGTTCCGGAACTTTCCCCATAACCTTCTAAATTCAGAAGGAAATCATAGAAGTTGAGTGTACCCATAGCTTGTTGTTGTTAACAAGCAATTCTGTTTGTATTTGACCAAGTGTTTAAGAACACCTAAAATGTAAGTGTGCATCTCAGAGTTACTTCCACCTTTAGGAAAATTGTATCTTTTGGATTCATGTAATTAATTAATTTCATTTTTAATGTGATGCAATGACAGACTTTGCATATGTTAGGTGCTCAATAAAAACTGTATGGCCAGATTTACTGAAATTCTGTCTGCATTCGATCTATTTCCAAAGACATCCTGAACTGAATTCTTAGATACAGTTTGAATTGTTGGGAAAAGACGAGGCCTCAGAACTCTGTGTGGACCAGTCCAGCCGTGAGGGCCCATCACTGTTCTGTGTGACCTGCACCCGGCTCTCCTTTTTTCCTCTCCTCTCCTCTGCTTCCCTTCATTCCTTCTCCTCTACCTCCCCTCCCCACTGCCCCTGGCACCCACCTCTACAGTTTGCATTAGATATCAGCATTTTAAAATTACATAATTGGTGCAGGCATTTCAGCAGCAGCTAAGATGCTGCTTAAGACACGCACATTCTATGTCAGAGGGCCTGGGTTTGATTCTACTCTGCTTCTGACTCCAGGTTCCTGCTAATGTGCACCCTGGGAGGCAGCAGGTAATGGTTCAAGTACTTGGGTCCCTGCCACCCATAGGAGAGTCCCAGATGGAGTCCTAAGCTCCCTGCTTTGGCTTGGCCCAGCCCTGGCAGTTATGGGCATTTGGGAAGTGAACCAGTGGATGGAAGAGCTCTCTGTTTCTGACTCCCTCTGCCTTTCAAATATATATAAAAAAGGAAAATAGATTAAAATGAATAAAAATTAGGCAATAGCACATAAAAATCCAGATTTCTGGTTCTTTTAAGAAATTAGAAGAACTGCTGGCGCCACGGCTCACTAGGCTAATCCTCCGCCTTGCGGCGCCGGGGTTCTAGTCCCGGTCGGGGCGCCGGATTCTGTCCCAGTTGCCCCTCTTCCAGGCCAGCTCTCTGCTGTGGCCAGGGAGTGCAGTGGAGGATGGCCCAAGTGCTTGGGCCCTGCACCCCATGGGAGACCAGGATAAGTACCTGGCTCCTGCCATCAGATCAGCGCGGTGCGCCGGCCGCGGCGGCCATTGGAGGGTGAACCAACGGCAAAGGAAGACCTTTCTCTCTGTCTCTCTCTCTCTCACTGTCCACTCTGCCTGTCAAAAAAAAAAAAAAAAATTAGAAGAACTGGCAGTATGATCCACTTACTGACATAGCGACAACTGCCTGCTGCTGGCTGCCTCCCATGGGATTGGGTAAGTTCTCTGGAGTTCTTCACTGCTGCTGCACACCTGATGAACCGACTTTATTAATTTGGGCCCACTAGAGAGCTGAGCCACCTCAGGCACACATTTCCTACCTTTTCGTTAACCAACTGCTCTTCTCGCCCTCTCCCATCTTAAAGTAGTGGTAACTGGAGCAGTCTTAGAGGTGCTGATCATCTGCTGTTTCCTTCTTTGAAATGTAGGATCTTTTACACATATTCACTATATTTCTGCATTCACACAATCATCGAAACATTCAGATTGAACATGATTTCAGGCCAGGTATCTGAGGTCATATTCTGAGTTACAGCGACTGTTAGATAAAATTCATCTTGGTTGGGCAGATGTTTGGCTGGTTAAGTAGCTGGGTCCTCCATCGGAGTTCCTGGTTTTGATGTTTGCCTTTGGTTCCTGATTCCAGCTTTCTGCTAATGCAGACCCTGGGAGGCAGCAGTGTTAGCTCAAGTAATTGCACTCCTACTACCCACATGGGAGACCTGGATGGAGTTCCTAGCTGCCACACACAATGCCCACCCTCTGCCATTGTGGATATTTGGGGAGTGAACCAGCACATGAAAGCTCTGTATTTCTATTTGTTTACCTGTGTGTCACTCTGCCTCTCAAAATTTTTAAAGAATTGAGCTTGGCCAAGAAGAAGCTCAGAGCACCTGTAGCCTACTTCCTAGAGATATGGATCAAAAGCCTAACAAAATGTGTGTGTCATGAGGAAGAGGTATTGGAGATGAAACTGCACTGCCTAGAACCAGGAGTAGAATGGTGGTTTCATCTCTCCGCACATGACAACTGACAGTTCCCTCCAGTATGGCCTTTGGTAGTGAGTCTGATGACATTGTCTCAGTGAAAGAATTTCCCTACAGGTTCAAGCACACAATGCTGGTTGCTATGGCTTCTTCTCCCTTTCAAGAAGAGCTGTACCAAGACTCAGTCTCAGGAACAAAGAGATGCTGACTGGAGCACGCTGCTTGCAGTGGAAGGGACAGGGATAGGTCCTACCACTGGTTCCTAAGTGACCGTGGCTAAGTCCCAGCGTCTCCAAGTCTGAACATTGACGGGAATTAGACTGAGTTCATCTAAAGTCCCTAGAATATGCTGCCAGTATTCTTGAATCCTACACATAGTTTTACCTAGAGATAAGATGTGACTATCAACAAGTGGCAATGTATTATACAGAACCACATGTGATAACCCAAGAAAGATCACAGACTTGGAAGACATTCAGAGGAAGCCAAGTGTGATGTTCAAGGAAATCAATAGAGGGAAAGAAAAAGGAAGGAAGGAAGGAGGGAACAAAGAGGAAAAGAGAAATGAAAGGAAGGAAGGAAGGAAGGAAGGAAGGAAGGAAGGAAGGAAGGAAGGAAGGAAGGATGGATTTTTGGTTCGTGGGCATCTGGGAAGCTTTGGAAGGATAGGTTTGGAAAGACAAGCATGAAACTGGGAGAGGACAGGCTCAGCCTCTCTGAAGTAGGAAGGAGGACAGAGGCCTCCAGGAATTTGGTGACCACTGCTTTTCTGGCCCTTTTTGGAAGTCTCAGAAATGTCATGGTGTCAGGTTCGTGATGGCAGCCATGGTAGTTTTGTAATAATGATGTTTACAATAGGCCGTATGTCATTGTGGGGATGGAGTCAGCAACCATGTTGGATTTTTGGCCGTTGCCAGTTCTGGACCCCAGCTTTGCTGCCATTGCGATTTCAGGTGGCTGGCCTTGGAAGGAATGTTAGAGACAACTCCAGGTAGAGAGGGTGTGGTGACATCTTTCCTCCCCTTCTATTTTTAAAGATTTATTTACTTATTTGAAATGCAGACTTATAGAGAGGGAGAGAGGGAGAGAGGGAGAGAGAGTCTTCCATCCCCTGGTTCACTCCCCAAACGGCTGCAACAGTCGGAGCTGTTCCAATCTGAAGCCAAGAGCCAGGAGCTTCTTCTGGGTCTCCCACGTGGGTGCAGGGGTCCAAGCACTTGGGCCATCTTCCTCTGCTTTCCCAGGGCATAGCAGAGAGCTAGATTGGAAGTGGAGCATCCAGGACTCAAACCGGCACTCTTATGGTATGCCAGCACTACAGGGAGCAGCTTTACCTGCTATGACACAGCGCCAGTCCCTAGTATTTTTTTTTTTTTTTTTTTTGACAGGCAGAGTGGACAGTGAGAGAGAGAGACAGAGAGAAAGGTCTTCCTTTGCCGTTGGTTCACCCTCCAATGGCCGCCGCGGCCGGCGCACCGCGCTGATCCGATGGCAGGAGCCAGGAGCCAGGTGCTTTTTCCTGGTCTCCCATGGGGTGCAGGACCCAAGCACCTGGGCCATCCTCCACTGCACTCCCGGGCCACAGCAGAGAGCTGGCCTGGAAGAGGGGCAACCAGGACAGAATCCGGCGCCCCGACCGGGACTAGAACCCGGTGTGCCGGCGCCGCTAGGCGGAGGATTAGCCTAGTGAGCCGCGGCGCCGGCCCCTAGTATTTTTTAAAAATTATTTTTATTCATTTGAAAGGCAGAGAGATGGAGAGAGCACTCCCCCATCACATCCCAAATACATGCAACAGCCAGTGCTACTTTAGGTCAAAACCTGGAGCCTGGAACTCCATCTGGGTCTCCTACATGAGAGGCAGGGAACCCAGTCCTTGAGTCATCTTCTGCTGCCTTCTAAGGTGTCCATTAGCAGGAGGCTGGAATTGCAAGCAGAGCCTGGGGCTCAAACCCAGCCACTCTGATATGGGATCCCAGGCTCTCTGATAAAGAATACAGGCATCCCAACCAACGAGGCAAGTGCTGTGACTACCATGCCTGCTTTCCATCTTAAAGGACACTCACACAAAACGGTAATCAGCAACTCTCCACCCCAGCGGAGAAGAGCATACAAAGAAATGAGCATGAAGTATGTGGCTGTAGGAGAGAGAATTATAGGATAAAGAGTGTGATGTACAGTATTGGCAGGGGGCTGTGAGATCTTCATTGTGGAAGACTTGAAAGGAGATGAGGATGTTGCTGTCCAGAGTTCATAGGTGGTATTGGAGGCTAGGGAACCACAGCTGACCTCCCAGCTCCACGGCTTTCTTACAACTCCAAAGAAGAGTTTTCCAGTGCCTACAGCTGCAGGGCTTTGATGAACTTAGCTCAAGTGTTGTCCCTCTCATGACCTCTAGCTCATCGCATTCAAACTTCTCCCCATTTCAACCTTTCAAAGCAGCCATCAAAGCGGACCAAAGTCCTTCTCTCCTTTTGAGAGCAAGAAGTCTATGTTAACCATATTACAATGACTGGGCGTTCATCATACAGACCACAGGCAGATAGGAGATAGCATGGGAGATACCATTAACAGTAGCAGCACAAGGAGAAATACCTAAGAATGAGCTCAGCAAGAATAGGCAAGAGCAATATGAAAGATCCAGAAATACCCCTGAGGGCAGAAAAGAAAGACTCAAAGAAATGCAGTCTTGTGGGGTTATTATTAGATTAAAAAAAAAAAAGGTCAAGTTTCTCTAGATTGAATTTAAACGTGATTACAATGAGTACCAATAGGATTTTGGAGTGTGAGAACTCAGCAAACTGATTCTAAAGATCCAACAAGAAACCAAGGTGAATTTGGGGGCTTGCGGGAGGGAGGATGCTTTCATTAAAGGGCACAACTTGAAATGGCCAAGTACAGAGATTCTCAACGGAATGTTGGCAGCACAGTGCAAAACAATGTAAACGATGTGGGAGGGGGCCGTTTCTAGGTAACCACAGGGACTCCCCAGAAAGGCCAGAAGCCTCCAACCAGCCCTTCAGTTGACAGTTGCTGCTTTGAGCTGGGTGGTCATGTGATCGTGGTGGGGCTGAAGACCCCAAACCTTTGATCCATATGTTCTTTTGTTCCCATGAACAATGATTACAATGAGAACGATTCTTCTCCAAATCAAGACAGGGAT